GTGATTCAACGCTAAGATCGGACCAAGAAGAACGGCTGAAGAACTTCACATCGGAACTCACGGAACGGAGTGGAATGAGCAGGGTGAAAGGCTGTCTGAGTTTATCATGTCGACCCATACCATCCATGGTAACTCGCAGTTCCAGAAGCCCTACTCTCTACGCTGGACATGGGAGTCTCCTGGTGGACAATTCCATAATGAGATCGACCACATCATCTTCAATCGAAGGTTTTGCCTGACCGATGTCGCTGTTGTTCCTAAGTTCTACACGGGATCCGACCACCGTCTCCTTCGCGCAAGATTCCGCTTTTCGATGCGAAGGAAAGAGCCGCAAAGTTCAAGAAACGAAGTCCCAAGACTGTCACCACTTGGGATCACTTCACTTCTCTCGCTGGGCTCTGGGAGGATTCCGTTATCGACAACATCGACGAGGAATACGAACGGCTTGTCGCACATCTTCACGACTGCGCCAAGAAGTCAGAGAGTTCCAAGATTACCAGTAGCGTTTATCTCTGCAACCACGACATCTACCCTGATCTCTTTGACAGCCACGTCCACCTGCCACCATACCGCTTGGAGCAGGATGGATACGTCGTTCCTGCAGTTCTCCCTTCCGAAGTCCGACACGCCATCTCGTCGGTGAAGAATCGTACGGCACCCGGTCCCGACAGGATCAGACCCGAACATCTGAAGAATCTTCCGCCAGTTCTTGTCAAAACTCTGGCTTCACGCGCTACCTGTCGGAATGCAAGGTACCCACCTCGTGGAAAACCAGCAAGACTGTGTTGCTGTACAAGAAGGGAGACCTGTACGACATTGGCAATTATCGCCCAATCTGCCTGCTGTCTGTAGTCTACAAACTCTTCACACGAGTCATCCTGAACAGGATTGGCAGAACACTAGACGAAGGACAGCCATGCGAGCAAGCAGGGTTTTGAAGAGGATACAGCACGATCGACAAAGCTCATCGAAGTACTGCGAGAGTACAAGATGCTATTATGTCTCACATTCATCGAATTGAACAAAGCCTTAGCTCGGTACATCAGGATTCTTCGTGAGCTCTACAGCAACTTCACGACCAAGATCTCACCATTCTACAAGGAGATCATCATCGATGTGAAGAGAGGGGTCCGACAGGGCGACACCATCTCGCCCAAGCTCTTCAGCGCCTCTCTCGAGAACGTCATGCGTCAACTGGAATGGGAAGACATGGGAGTGAAGATCGACGGTCGGCAACTACACCATCTCCGCTTTGCTGACGACATCGTTTTGATAACACCAACATCGAGCAAGCGGAGCGAATGCTGGTTGATTTCGACTGTAAAAATCGGGCTGTCTAACGAAGACAATGTTCATGAGGAACAGATTGGTTCCTTATACCCCATTCACGCTCAACGGAACGACTATCTCTGAATGCTCTGGCTATGTGTACCTGGTCGCATAGCTAGTACGATGAACGACTTAGCACCAGAGCTGAGCAGGAGGAAGCGAGCGGCTTGGGGAGCTTCAAGAATCGAGGGAGTAGCGAAGAAGACGAAGAACACCAAGCTCCGTGCCCACCTCTTCGATTCCGCGGTCCTTCCTGCCTTGACGTACGCCTCAGAGACTTGGACTCTACGAAAGCAGGATGAGCATGCGGTGGCGTTATTCAACGCGCCATCGAAAGGGCGATGATTCCCGCGCTGGCTATCAGGGGATGTCAAGCGAACAGTTGGGCGACTGGCGCCCACTGGCGGAATTTGATGATCAACGGGAGCACAGGTGATACAGGTGAAGTTCTTGGTGGCATAAAAGGGCGCGGCTACTTGACGTCTCTGCCCATCCATCTCCACGAAGAGAGGAAAGCAGTACTGCTATGTTGATCAAGGCACATTGCACGTTGAGGGTTCCAAGCGGGGGAGGGGGAGAGGGATCGTATTTGGTCGGTGTAGGAAGAAGGCGGGTCGTATTCGCCTTCGAAAAAATGTGTTTGTTGTGTGGACTTTTCTCGTTTTATCCTTCGTTCAAAATGGTTGCAACCGCGCCTTGGTGCTACTCTTTCGAACGACGAAGCTGACTGAGCGCCAAGTGGTCTATGTATATGCAGCCTTAGGCATGAGAAGCCGACCTGCGAATCTGTACCTGATACTAGCATGGCTTGAGAGTATGGTAGTGGGATAGTGATAGTTGAAGCTGAGGTAGTAATAGCTGAATAGTGCGGATATATATATATATATATATATATATATATATATATATATATATATATATATATATATATATATATATATATATATATATATATATATATATATATATATATATATATATATATATATATATATATATATATATATATATATATATATATATATATATATATATATATATATATATATATATATATATATATATATATATATATATATATATATATATATATATATATATATATATATATATATATATATATATATATATATATATATATATATATTTATTTATTTATTTATTTATTTATTTATTTATTTATTTATTTATTTTTATTATATATCAAGGGAATATGCTTCCCATGATGCCTGGATTCGATCGAGAGACAGTAATTCGGGCTTTGTAAATGTGCATCGCATGGGGGAGGGCTTTTCATGAGCGACTGCGTAGAGAACCCATCCACTAAGTTTTGAACTTCTCCATTCAAGTGGAGGTGATGCTTAATAATGAAAAGGAAGCATTATGGCACAGTCCTCATCATTGCGGACCGGTGGGGCGTGGCAGTGCGGCTGCTTTGGTGCGGTTTGGCAAAATCGTTCTGCACCAGTTTTTGAAGCGGGCAAGTGCATTACTGTATTATATCCTTCGTATTACTCGTTTTCTACCACTTTTTGTCGCATACGCGTTGCAACAAAAAAGGCTGAGAACGGCTTCAACAGTGTGCGCACTCCTTCTGGCTGGCACGCCCCACCGGTCCGCAATGATGAGGACCGTACCTCTGGCGATTCTTCAATTTTTGGCATCAATCTCCGTGAACAAAGTAACTCCGTAAGCTCTCAGCTGGGCTCAGCAAGGCAGTAGGTCGATGCTTGTCTGTGAGGTTGCAATTGAAATCTTGGGATCACATAAACTATCGTAAGCATCGCTAAGGGACATAGCCTCTTTGCTATTTACTTGGCTACTGGACCTGTGCACATTTAGCTTTACAGAAAAAGCACAAAAGAGAAGCTGTAGAAAATGCTGTTTCGTCGACCTCACTCTCTAGTTTCGAGCGCTTGAATATTGGTGTAAAGAGAGACTTCAACAAAGCTAAGAAGACTGTGGTATAGGGCAAAATATTCTCTACAGGCACCCTTCTCAAAGTTCTCCATCTTAAAGGTTCTCCCGGGATCAGCTGACATCTTCCTCTCCCTTCGTGAGCAGGTAGACAGGCCCGCAGAGACAGCGATTGCACCATTTTTGCGGCGCAAAGGTGAGGGAGGAAGGCGGAGACATTGTCGTTTCTCTCATTGACCCATTTTCATTGACCCCGCCCGCCGCTCTGCTATCCATAATGATAGAAGACCTGCTAAAAAACATTGGCAGAGACGTTATGGTAGCAGGAAATCAGCTGTGATCAAAGGCGCAACCACATCGACCAGAACAGCACTCGCTGAACTCCTTGAGTTTCGACAAAAAAGGACGTCGGAAGATGTTAGCTAATGGAGGAATGGCAAGAGCCGCCAACTGTTAGATACGGAAAGCTGCTTGTACCATCTTCAGCACAATATTTTAAGTGAGAAAAAACGCCATTACTCATGAGCCAACCCAAGAGTTAGAGGTCATGGAATGCTTCCTTATCATAACCAGGCATCACCATCAGTTGATGTTGGACGTACGAAAGTTTGTAGGTAGGTTCTGCAGGCAGTCGCTCCCAAAGAGAGCCTCCCCCCCAGCGATGCGCATTTACAAGGTCCGAATTCCCATCTCTTGGTCGCTTGAATCTTCGCTTCGCGCTGTCATAGGAAGCATCGTTCCCTGTTCATTGAGATCACACGTTTTGAGTAACTCGTGTAATCTAAGAGCAGAGATAAAGTGCACAATGTTGCTGTAAAAACTCACATCTGTGTCGACTCGACACACCATTTCAGTAAAATAAAGGTTGACAAAATAAAAGTAAGGGGGAAGCAATTATCTCTTCTTTCAGAGCAAAAAAACTGTCTATATTATAGCATGAAATGCATTGAAAACGATTATCACGTTTCATATAAAAACTAATGGAGCTAAGGAAAAAACGCCATCACTTGTGGGTCAACCTAATATGTCTTAGAATTAAGACCACTTGTATCGTTGCAACTAAGATCCTACCCGTTCAAAGCCTTCTTCCGCTTCTCGTATCTCTTTCGGCGCACGAAACGCCGATGGATGATAGTTCTCTTTGCGGTAGAGTGTCAATGTTTTCAACACCTGAAAGATTTGAACTCTTAAAGTGCTAGCTGGAGTGTTTCACTTGTTGCCGGGACATTTAAATTTCATTTATCACCTCATCCACCAGACGATCCTTGACGCGATTGTGCTGTACAGATATCGCGTCTGCTTCTCCGAGCATTTCCATCCAAGCTTTCTAGAATAGATAAGTTACAGAACGACAACGTGAAAATCCATCGAGCGTTCTACACTTTGTGTGTTTCGCATCATTCAGAAATAGAGACGTTGACCTACATAAGTAGATCCAGCCTGCAAGCCTGCGGATCATCTCTGGTTTTCAACAACAATAAAGCTGAATATGTTGCTGATCTTCCCGGCAAAGTCCCCAACAACGACCATTTGGGTGAGGACCCTACATTACCCGGATTTTACCCTAGAATCTCACTCACTTTGGCGAAAGAAGCAGGGATATTTTTAAAGTCCTCTCTAAATTGAGCCGAGCTCATTTATTGTTACCTTTATACCTATACCTTTTCGGAAAAACTTTTCAATTCGCAAGAAAGTGCGACCATCGTTATCAGTCCTCTGAAGTTTATATTCAATCTGAACCTGTTTCGAGCTCAGATAGGAGGAGGCGCTATTACGTGGTCCCCATTCCTAGAGAGACCCTAACCAGGGACGCAAACAATCACAGACCAGTCAGCAACCCTTCCATTTTTTGTAGAACCTTCGAAAAAGTAATGAAAAGGGTAATTGCCGAACATTCTGGAGAATAATAGAATATTACCTGACTGTCAGCACGGATTTGTGAGAGCAGGATCAACAGTTACTCTACGGATTTTTGAAAAACTGGACCAGTTATTCAGATGACAAGAACAGGGTTGATGTTATTTACTTTGACTTCTTGAAGATTTTTGATAAAGTAAACGACACCACGCTACTGTATAAGCTTGAGCAGATTGGTTTACATTCAAGGATTATATCGTGGACGAGGTCCTTTCTGAATAACCATTCTCTCCTAATAGGGGTCGACAGAACATTACTGGTGTCAGAATAGCTCCCACTGATGTTCCACAGGAAGGCGTATTGCCATCATTGTTATTAAGCATTCATACGCATGATCTCCTATGTTGTCGACGTTCATGGGAGTTAATGTTCAAGGTTTTCACTTTTACAGTCTGACCCTATAAGCATTCAGGAAGAGATTGATATAATTTCATGGTGTAAAGAGTGTCAATTTTGCTTTTTGACCAGTTATAAGAAGCAGAGCATTCCTTCCACAAGCGGTCTTATCGGTAAAACCATTAGAAATGGTCACAATGGACCCACTCAATATGCGCACTTGTCACGGGAACCGGTACATTGTCACCATTGTAGACCATTTACAAAGTATCTTGGAGCATACCCCATACCTGACAAGAAGGCTGAGACTGTAGCGGAAGCGCTGTTCAGTAACTGGATCTGCGGTTGTGGTAGATGGCCAGCTGCTTTGCTTTCCGATCGCGGTAGCGAGTTCGAAAATTCTGTCATGGAAGCGCTGTGTTCAATTATGGGCAATAAGCAAAAATTCACTAAGGACTCTGCTCAAGGAAAAAATAAAAGTTTGGTATGATTAGACATCGCCCCGACTTTTTCCGGAAATTGCACATCCACATAGTCCCCAGTATCTTGAGGTGCAACTGAATATTCCTCTTACTGCAGGTAAAAACGGTTTTTTCCAGTGTGGCTTTTTTCCTACCAATCGGCCCGCCGACACACCTCTTTCTGATACGGCCCGGCTTCATTGGGCGGGCGTGGCTTGGCGCTCGCACGTTCTTTCACATGTTTGAGTACACGCGTAATATCCGGC